GGCTGCCTAGGTGTGGTGTCAAATAGGCAACGATTCTCATATTTTAATGGACGAACATGAGTAAAAAAGTTAGTTCATAGGAGCAAGTTACACTTAAATACTTCAAATATAGGATTGCTAACCGGTAAACTAGTAGAGTTGGGAGACATCACAACTAGGAGAATAATTAATATTGTGTCTTCAAAAAACTAAGTGGATAAGGGAAAAGGTTAGAGACATAAAAACATAAGGCTCAAAGTTTTGGTACATAAGTAAATAAAAGAGTGCGAATAATTATAGATAAGAATTTAAAAGATGATGCGATTGATGTTAAAAGAAAAAAAGATAAAATTTTACATGTTAAACTTTTATAAAGAAAGAAAACTACTAATGTCATTAGTATTTACACCTTGCAATAGGTTTAGATCAAGTGAATAAATAAAAATTTTAGAAAGATTTGGACAAAGTAGTGCTAGCCATACCAAAAGGAAAAAAGTTATTTTTTAGAAGAGACTTAAATGGTCACATAAGCAAAGATTGTAGTGACTTTAAAAAAACGCATGAAAGGTATGGCTTTGGAGAAAGAAACGATACCAAAGGATAATATTCTAGAGTTTAATACTGCATTTGACTTAACTATATGAAACACATGTTTTAGAAAAAAAGAATCATATTTGGTGACTTTTAGGAGTAGGTCAAACATTAATTAAATTGATTTTTTTAACAAGGAAAGAGTATATAAGTAGATGTAAAGAGTGCAAGATTATATCAAGTGAGAGTGTGACAGCACAACATAGATTGTTAGTTCTAAATATCTTTCACATTCGGAGGTAAAGAGGCTACATCAATCATGAACCACGTATTAAGTGGTGGAACTTAAAAGGGATAAAATGTAAACTTTTAGGGATAGACTAGTAAAATAGGTTGATTGAAAGTCTATTGAGAATATAGAAGTAATGTGAGAAAAATTTTCTATCAAAATTCAAATGGTTGCTAAAAGACATTCAGCAAATCTAGAGGCTGTGCACTATTAAAAAAAAAATCTTGGTGGTGGAATGAAGATGTAAAAATGATAATCAAAGTTAAGCAAGAGTGTTATAAGAATTTAAAGAATAATAGGGAAGAGGCAAGTTATCTAAAGTATAAGACAGCAAAAAAAAAGTCAAAAAAATTATTCAAGATTAAAAGACTAAGATCCATAAAGAGTTATATAGAAAACTAAAGACAATAAATGGAGAAAAGAATTATTCAAAATTTGTTCAAAATTGCTAAAATGAGGGACAAGAAACATATGGATCTTAATGGTGTAAGATGTATCAAAAGCATTGACGAAAAAGTTTTAGTGAAGGATGAAGAGATTAAAAAGTGATGGAGAGATTATTTTGATAATCTCTTAATGGTAATTTTACGTATGATATAAGTGAAATTCACATACTTTTTAAGAATACAAATCATGTGTTTAAATATAATATTAAAAGGTATAAGGTTAAAGAAGCTTTGAGAAAACTGAAAGTAAAGAAAGCTGTAGGACCTAATCAAATCCTAATTGAAGTTTGGAAATGCTTAGGTGAAATAAAGATGGAATTGTTGATGAATCTTTTCAATAAAGTTTGACGTACTCAAAAGATGCTAGAAGAATGGAATAAGAGTACTTTAGTGCCTTTATACAAGAATAAAGGTGATATACAAAATTGGTCGAACTATTGAGTAATAAAGCTTATAAGTCATAGAGAGAGCAAGTGAATGTAGGTTGCGATATGATATCACTATTTTTGAAACTCAATTTGGATTTATGCCAAGACATTTCACAATAGAGGCAATTTACCTATTAAGGCTTTTGTTGAAGGATTTTCAGGCAAAAAAAAATATCTACATATAATATTTATTAACTTGCAGAAAGTATAAGACAGAGTGCCTCGAGAGGTGTTTTGGTGGGCCTTAATGAAGAAAGGAGTTTCTTTAAAGTACGTTAATATAGTTAAAAATATATATGAAAGAGTTGTAATTAATGTGAGGACATTCAAGGCCTTGACTGATAGATTTCTTATTACCTTAAGATTGCATCAAAGCTCAATACTAAGTTTTTTTTTTTTTTTTGCATTAGTTATGGACGAGCTCATTAGACATATCCCTGATAAGGCATTATAGTATATGTTATTTACCGATGATATAGTTTTACTTGTTGAAACTAGTGATAAACTTGATGCGAAATTAGAATTCTGGAGGCATATGTTGGAGTCTCGAGGTTTTAAATTGAGTAGATTTAAAACTAAATATATAGATTGTAAGTTTGGTAGTAATAAAGAAGCGAGTTAAGTTGGATGGTGAGATAATACCAAAGAATTGTCATTTTTTATATTTGTGATCAATTATTTAAAGTGATACTGAGATAAAAAAGGGATTTAAATCATATGATTCAAGTAAGATAGGTGGGGTGAAAAAGCACGTCGAGTATATAATGTGATTGCAACATGTCTTTAAAGTTATATAGGACTGAGTGTTGAGCCATTAAGAATAACATAAGAAGAAAATAAGGGTAATTGAGATGATGATGCTTAGATGGATGTGTGATAAAACTAGAAGAGAGAAATTAGAAATGAAGAGATTTAAAAAATAATAATAAAAGATAACCTGAATTGAGAAAAATATAAAAGAAGGTTATTTTAGATGTTTTAGACATATGAAATGCATGCCTATCTATGCATTAGTTAAGAGAAATGAGCTTTTAGATTTGGAAACGACTAAAACTTTCTAGAAGTAGACCATAAAAGACGCAGATGTAGGTAATAAAAAATTATATAAGGGTAAAGAAGTAGATAAAAATGAGTGGCACAAAAAAATTCAAAATTATAACCTAACATTTTTTATTTTACTTTTCATATAGCCGACCACAAAGTTATAGGATAAAAAATTTAATTTGTTTTTGTTGTAAATTTTAAAATTAAATTATGTATATTAAAAATTTTAATCTTAATTAAAAATTAAAAAATATAGTGATAGAAATGCTAGTTTTTACCATTGAAGTTAATGTAACAACATTCAAAATTCATTCAATTAAAGAATTTAAGCATTATATGAACCCATGCGTTTATTAAAAATTTTGATATAAAAATTCAAAAATAAAATTGTGATATGAGAAATTTGAAAAAAAAAATACATGATATAAAAGTAATCATGTTCAAGAGTCGGTCGAGCTACCTGTTAGAGTCTAAAGGCAGCAATTGTTCTTAAGTTATTTTATTCATGATTTAAATTCTAATAAAAAAGAAATATTAAATATTAAATAAAAATATTTGTTTTATTTTTTTAATTTAAAAAATATTTGGACAGGCCTAAACTATCTATTTACTAAATAAGCAAATTTAGATAAAACTTGAGATTCTAATTATCGAGTGAGATTGAATTTGAACAAAGTATAAAATGTTGATATTATATTTAGATAAGCTTGCATAAAATTTATTTTCATTCATGTACATTTATAAATAGAAGAAAAAAATTGTTAGGAAATATAAATATTCTGCAACGACGGTGATATTTTTTTAGGATAATAAATGTAGGATGATTGGATTTCATTTAAGAAAAAAAAATTTATCGATCTAAAAAGGACATTACAAAAGATTTTGATGGCTAAACTGTAATAAGAAAATTTAATAACTTCATATCAAATAACCAAATTCATGTAATTAAGAAGGCGTGTTTAGGTAATCAAAATCGACAATGAAACTTTTTATTATTTATCATATGATTTTTTTTTTTAATTTTGGTCTTCTTCAGATTTTATCATATCTAGAAAAAAGAACAGTTGGCCCGTGGTCCTTTTCTTAGCTGCTCACTTGCCGTTGCCACATAATATGGTAACATGCCTTCTGCCTATCGCTTTCAGCAAGGCAGTATTTCAGGTCCAACTTGATCCATTCTTTTTAATCCAACAAGTGATTGATTCAATCGGTTAGATTTATCTTTTTCAATAAAAAGATTTTGGATTTGAGTCATGTCGATGATCATTTGTTAGAGTCATCTCAAATGCATGATCTGTAATCACTTATATTAAACTGTCAAGTATGACATATATTACCTTGACATAAAAAACTGAGTAACCTATCTATCCCCGAATTTTTCAAAACCAAAAAACATAAAATATGAAAAGGATTTACGTAAAATTTATTAGATAAATTTTATGAAATTATTTTTTAAAATTAAAAATTAAAATATATATTAAAATTTTGTTACATAAATTAAATATGTAAAATTTAATAAATTTTTATATGATTTTTATATAGGCATTTTTAATAAAAATTTTGATAAAATTTTATCGTTAAATAAGTTTTCAACAAATTTAATTATAAATGACATTTTTAATAATATTTTTTACATATTATTGATTTTTTAATTAAATTTTATTAATTTATTAATTTAAAATTTTTATTAAATTATTTTTAATAAAAAATTTTATAAATTTTTACTTAAAAAACTTCATATAAGTTTTTCTCATAAAATATACTAATAATTCTAATGAAAGTATTTTACTTAAAATTATTGTAATACAATTAATTAATTATAGTTTAAAATTATGCAAAATTTATTAAAATTTTATGAGACTTACCCTTGTAAGTGATGAATTTTTATATAATTTTTTATTATAATTAAACAATTATAATATTTAAAAACAATTATAGATGATACGCTCCTAATTCTAGTGGATCTCTGACCCAACTTATTGATTAAATCCAACCCTTTTTGAGGCTAAGTGCATTTGGATGGCATCTCATGGTGTATTATTTTTTATTATTTTTTAATTTGTAATGGAAAGGAGAAAGGGTGCAGTGAATATTGGATCATAGATTGCTTTAGTGTAAAATGAAAATAATTTTATATTGATGTGTTTTTATCCAAAAACATTTTCATAATTAATTTTAATTTTATTTTACAACACTGTCACTACTATTCTTAATTTTATCAAAATTAAAGTAATTATCCTTTCAAATAGACCCTAAAAAAGCATTTATTTTCATTTTTATTTTCACACTACGTTTTCCTTTTGTCACTAATAAAGACTCCAAGACCATAATCATCTGATCCCACCACCAACGAGGGAAGAAAGAAAGAGCAACAAGTTTTAGTCCAAATGGAAACCGAAACTTCATGGTAAGTAACACAAGCCACTCTTTTTTCTTCCACTCCAATTTCCAAATTTGAAATTTGACTTGAAAATTCCTTATTCATCTGACATCCTATCCTCTTCTTCTGGGAAATTAATTCTTATCAAATAAAGCCGAAGCAATTTCGAAATGAGCGAAATGCTGGCAACATATCTTGCCTCAACATCGCTGTTGGAAGAGGCATGGAGGATTTGCAGTATCGCAAACACAAAGTTTCCAGGGGCTTACATGGTGGAACAGATTGGAAGCGTGGCCTATGTTGCGTTTTCTGGCATACAAATGGATTCTGGGTCAGACCAGACCAGCAGAAATCTGGTGCCACTGGATGCTGAAGACGATGGCCTTTTCGCTCCTCTTTATCGACATAGCGAAGCAGAGGAGCCCATCAAGGTGCATAAAGAAATGTTAAAGCTTTTCCTCTCAATGTATCCCAGTTTGCAAATCCAGGTCAGATTCTTATCTTTTACCTTGCAGCATAGTTATACCATATAAAATTTTCATCTGTCTTTATCTTTCAGTTTTCTTTGTTTATGGTTTAACATTTAGTTCATTTTATTAACAATTTCTAAAGTTGAAAAAAATCAAAATTTTGACTTCAACATTTAAAAATAATAATAATAAATACAAACCATCAAACACTTGTTGTATTAAAACTACTAAATCGCCATTAAGCTCATATTAATCAAATTACACAAGACAATTCGTACATTTGTATTTATTTACTTGTGTTTAATATACGTAAGATATAAAAATTATTATATCATAATTTTTGTAAATACACTGCACAAAACATTTATTTTATTTTTAACAAATTAATTCATATACAATATTTTATTAAAACTTTAAATCTTATTTTTTTTATTATTTTTATATCGTCATTCAGTATTTAAAATTATTATGTATACATCAAACTGAATGAATTATTGTTGCAATTTTTTTTTTTAAATGAAGATACTGAAATGTGAGATTGACAGTTGATATAACTTTAATCAATATTAGGGTGAGACATGCGCTTCCTGCCTAAAACATTTGAATATATATTTATATAATCTAATGTTATGATTTTAATTTTTAATTTTATTTTTTAGCCGGAGGTTAGCTAGATATAATATCCTTTGCAAATTTATTTTAACAATATATGTACATATAACTTACAAACATATATATATATATATATATATTTAAGCAAAATGAATCCCTAATCATTCTATTGAAATTAATTACTTACAATGAAATGAATCTTCTAATGTACCATATTTCTAATTCAATTTTATCAAAAATGAAAAGTTTAGTTAATTTCAACAATGGAGATTTTTATCAGTATTTTTGTTATTATTATTTTATTTCTTATTTTTTTTATTTACGTAATATGCTAAGTAACCTCCTTGATTTTTAATTAACAAAAAATAATAATATGAAAAAAATTAAATATAATTAATATGAATCACAAATAAAAAAGCCATTGCTTTTTAAACTTTATTTAGGGTTTGAATATCACTAAAATGTTAAAATAAATGAAAACCAGTAATCATGAAATGATTAATTCACTTCCGCCCATAGAATAGGTGTGAATAAAAGAAGCCATGTAGTTAACTTTTCAATTAAACGATAGATGAATCTTTCACCTGTGTTGGTGCGAGCGATGACATCACCATATTCCCAGTTGATGTGAAAAGGGTAACAGAAAGAATAAAGTCACCACTTGGAGTTCAGCTACTTGTTATTAAAAAGAGTGAATTAGGGTATAGGGTCCCAACTGCCAAAAGGAGAAACTTGAATCAACCCAAATTTCCAAATCATATCATATCATGAAAATAAATTTGATCGGGTGAATTCAAATCCCACATGACTTTAATTAACTATAATTAGAATAAAATTTTAATGTAATTATATTTTTCAAATATTCCTAACCATGTTTAAATCAAGACATGTCAATTATCATATTGATTTTGAAGTTAAAATTATAGTAGTATGGTAGACTGTGAAAGAGAATGAGATTTTTTAATATTTAGGTTTTTTTACCTTTTTAGTTTCGTTTAATTGGATGATACTTTTGTTATTTACATTTTATTAAATAAAGAAGTGAAAAGCAAACAAATTAAAATAAATTAAAAATAAGTCACAAATAACAAAAAGTAAAAATGCCAACCATATGAAATTAATTTTAATTAACCTATTTATTTGCTGTGATTAGATACTATGTGGGTAATTTTTTTTTTTAAAAAAATATAAGTACTTTTTTAAAAATATATATTATATAGAAATTTGTTTTTCTATATGTGAAAGTAAATAAGCAATTAGGGAGTAACTAATTAATCAAGAAACGTTATTATTGATCAATAATAACAATATAATAGCAGCAAAATCACAGGTCAATTTAATACTTGTAGTTGATAAAATAAAAAATAAAAGACCAATTAACTAGTTGAGTCCACATACAATGTTCTGAAGTAAGCCAATTCATTTGACATTGAGGTCAAACTTCAAAAAAAGCCACCCCGGAGTGCACTCGCATTTTCTTGCAACATGCCAGTGGTGTCGGCAAAATCTTTTTCGTACCATTTCACAAACTCTCTTTTTTTGTCAGAATTTGTTTTGTTGTTTTATTATGGTTGGTTGGGTCTATTCTTAAAGCAAGCATGCCTTCCATTACGTCACCATGGGGCTTCGCCATTGTTCGTTTCGTTTGTCGCTTTTGAAATCATTCAAGATGCTGTCGTACCATTGCAAAAATTGGATCGTATTAACCAGAAAATTTTTACATTATTATTATTATTATTATTTTGGTAATTATCCGATTGTAGTTATGAATAATATATCGAGTGGAGTTTAATGGCGAACTTGAGGTAAAGATCCCTGATCTATAATCAATTATTGTAATTGGTTTATATACAGAGCTAGTGATTATGTGGATGGAGTAAGAGTCAAATTAAGTTGAATCATTTCACATTAATGAAATTTTGGATCGTTTTAAATGTTATGAAATTATCTCTGAGTTTGTATGATTTTGTATTCAAATCATCTGTGTTTAACTTATTAATTTTTAAAATAAAAATTGAATTGATTTCAATTGCATTGGTTGATATTTTATCAACCTTAATTAACATTTTAAAGGTCACGTAATCACATTTTCTATTTATTTTTTCTTATTGTGGTACACTTGCAATTTTGATTTTTTAATATCGTAATTTTATAAAAAAAATTAGATTATATGAAAGGACAAAAAGATAAGTAACTTAAAAATTATTTACTAAACTAGTTATTTTTTATTAACAAATTCCACACCCCTGGGAAAAAATTAGTCATTTATTATTTTTATTGATGTTTACTATTCATCCTTATTGTACGGATTACTATTTTTTTTAGTTTACTATTGACTAACTAGATTTGCCATAGCTTATGATTATAACTTGCAAGCTCATAATTTCAAAATCAAATTAATATTAAAAGAAAAAAATAAAATTATACTCGATTTTTTTTTTCTTTTACTTGGGATTGGGATCAACTCATGAATTGATTACTTTTTCCATCTTAATCTCCGGTGGATGCAGATTATGGCGTTAATGGGAAAAGTGAAGTCCATAGTGATAACGGGTCAGTCCATAGGGGGAACAACAGCCTCCCTTTCAGCTTTATGGCTCCTCTGTCATCTGCAGTCCATGTCTTCTCCAGTGACGACGGTGCTATGCATCACATTCGGCTCTCCATTGCTCGGCAATGAAACCCTCCATCGATCAATTCGCCGCCAAAGATGGGTTGGAAACTTTTGCCATGTTGTTTCCAAGCATGATATCATGCCAAGACTACTCTTTGCTGAAATTGTTAATCACATTTCGAAAATACAAGACCTGTTAAATTTCTGGCACTGCTGCATGGCTTCTCCACACATCATTGTTACAGGCCTTTCTTCTCAGCTACCCGATGATGTTAAAGATACTATTTTTCAATGTGTTTTGAAGGACTTGGAACTGTTAGCACAAGCTGAAGAGCCATCAGAAAGTTTGTTTTGGCCGTTTGGAAGCTTTGTTTTCTGCTGCCAAGAAGGTGCCATTTGTGTAGAGAATGCAGCGTCTGTTACTAAAATGATGTATTTGATGCTGGCAACAGCTTCTCCATGTTGTAGCATTGAGGATCATCTCAAGTATGGAGATTATATTGCTAAAGTTTCTAACCAGTTTTTGAAGGCTAGAAACTTCCAAGAAGAGGGTCTACCTGATTCTAGCTGTGAAGCTGGAGTGGCATTGGCATTGCAGTCCTCACAACTAACTCACAAGGTACTCATTTTTCTCACCAGGAATACTTGGTTCCTTGCTGCCACGATTAACAAATAATATTTAGCAGATTTGGAATTAAAATTCCACTATCTATAACCTCTTTTGCACTTGAAAGAAAGCCAATTTTCATCTTTACTTGATTTATTTTTTGATTTTTGCTTTAACTAAAATCAACTCATAGGAATCAGTTCAAGACCTTTGCTTATCCATGCAGAACCCAAACACAAGGAAAGAAGTTGCAATTATGGCCAAGGACTGCCTACATATGGCTCAAAATGATCACAACCCAAACCTCACTGCTGCCAATCTAGCAATAAAATTGTCCAAGATAGTGCCCTTTAGAGCTGAGATTGAATGGTATAAAACCCGTTGCGATGAGGCTGATGATCAAATGGGTTATTATGATTCCTTCAAGCTTAAGGGGGGTTCAAGAAGAGAGGCCAGAATCAACATGAACCGCCATAAGCTTGCTGGGTTCTGGAATAGCGTAATCCTCATGTTGGAAAGCAACAAGCTACCTCATGATTTTGACAGAAGAGGTAAGTGGGTAAACGCTTCCCAATTCTATAAGCTTCTAGTTGAGCCATTGGACATTGCCGACTACTACCGAACAGGGATGCACCGCGAACATGGCCATTACATTGAGCATGGAAGGGAGAGGAGGTATCAAATTTTCGATAAATGGTGGAGGGACAGACGTGTTCCAGAGAAAGAAAAGAAGAGGAGCAAATTTGCCAGCTTGACACAAGATTCATGCTTTTGGGCTAGGGTAGAAGAAGCCAGGGAGTGGCTAGATAATGTCAGAAGGGAGAGTGATGTAACAAAGCGACGTCTGTTGTGGCACAAGATTGATGTGTTTGAAAAATATGCAGGGAAGTTGATTGAGAATAAAGAGGTCTCTAACGATGTATTAGCAAAAAATTCAAGCTTTAGTCGATGGATGGAAGAATGGAAGAAATGAAATCACATGTCCTGCAATTCCCTCCCTGGTTTCCAGATTTTGTGGATGGAGAGGTTGTTCCTTAGTCTGCTTTCTACTACAAACATGCTTTTTGTAGGTTTGTAAAATATGTAAAAAACCATTTCGTGTAGCTTTGGTTCATGAATTCGCTTTTATTACTATGGTGCACTTTTTACACAACCATCCTGACCTGCAAAACTATTCGGTCCAATTCAATCTGAAATTTGGTTATCAGAATCAATGTCCACTCAAAACTCTGATGAATTAATCCTTTGATTTTCACGAATTCATTAGATCCTATGACGTAAATATATTTGCTTGATGAATCACTTAAACTCGAAAAGCATATGTTCGAAATTTCAATCTATGCATAAATATTTGAATTTGTGATTGATGTTAAACCTTTTCAATTCGGAATTTCTATGTTCCCAGCAGATCCCTTGAACCATTTTCTGGATTATCAAAGACTAACCCATACCCAAAGCTAAAGGTGCATAATCGAATGTGCCCCAAGTAATTGGATGTTAGGTTGGTAAAAGAAAGACTACAAGTGTTTACAAATCCACAGAAAGTCAATCAGGCAGACTGGTCCTCTTGCTCTGCCCAAATAAAGTGGTCCATCTTTAAATTTCTCTGCAATTACCATTCTTGTAAAGATTGGAACAGCATAGCCACTAACCCACTGTCATGGCCAGGCCTTGGTCCTGCCATGACTGACTCTGAACCAAGCAACGGTCGAGATCAAGCTTGCGAAAAAGTGGCTCTAAGAGTTGTAGGCGTGCATTTGGAGCCTTGGAATATGTTACTACCATATTGTACGGGCAGTGGGAGCCTTGAACCACAAGATACGCAGAAAAGTTCGAGACGACGGTCAAGCACCCTCAAGCCAAGTAGCCAGGTGGGTGCCACCGGTAGAAGCAGTGTGTGGGCGTTCCGAGCATGGGAATATCTTGGGAATATTGTGTGTGGACGGTCCATGTCCTAAACCCCGAGATACGCAGGTAAGTATAAGGCAGTACGTCGATGCCTTGGGACCAGCTAGCCAGTCAGGTGCTGTCAGTCGAAGCCATGTGCGGGCACCTTCGAGTGGGTTGGTGGAGCAACGAGCAGAATCAAGGAGTAGTGGTGACCAAGAGAAGGGTCATGGGGCCCTGAGTTAGCCGGAGAAAGGCCTTGAGATGGATGGAGAGCAAAGTGTCCCCATTTCAGACAATCTTACGGTCACTAGTAGGAGACTGAGAACATCTCTTACGCTCTTTATAGGGGGACATCTGGTGTCAGCTCTCCACCACCCCCTTGGCTAGCGGGCAGGCGAGGGCCTGACTAGTCTGAAGTAAGCTATTCCTAGTCACTAGTGGTGGCTAGGTGGGCGGGCATTGTATGGTCACGAGCGTGGCACGATATTTTCTCAGGTCACGGTAAATCCGGGGGCGGTTGGGGTCGACGGACCTCGTATCGCGCCTTTGCGTTGAACCATGGGGTTAGACGGTAGAGATCGTTAGGCCCCTCGGTTTCCCCTCCTCGAGCCGGAAGGATCACGGGATGGCGTTTGCGTAGAAGGGATGCCATCGAGCCAAAGGGATGTGCGGGCTAGTAGGCAGACACGCTGCTAGACCCCTGTGGCCAGTCGGGAGAGGTGTGCTACAACTGGGGTAGTCCACCCAAGCCCCCTTACGGGATTAGCATGATGGTTGGTGTCAACCATGCGTACGGGCGATTGGTGTGCTGCAGCTGGGGGCAGTCCACCCAAGTCCCCTTGCAGGACTAGCATGATGTTGGGTGTCAATCATGCGTGCGGGCGGCCGATACTAATGCTAAGGGCCTAAGCCCTAAGAATAGAGTCTCGTGGGATGAGACGAGCCTAGAGGCTTCGAGCTGGTGGTCGACCAGCTTAGTTGTGGTGCTTGCGTAAACTTGATACGGGAGCTTGCGTACGATACGGGCGGGCATGATGTTGGGTTCTCACCATGTCAAGAAGTGATAATATCATGAGAACCGAGACTAAGTGTCCCTACGAGCAATCGAGGATCGAGGCTCAAGATTCAAAGCCCTACGGGAAGAGATGGGTGCTCGGGACTACGTTAAGAATCGAGGGTTATGTGCTCCGATGGGGATTCGAGGGTCAGTGCTCGAGGCCTTAAGCCTTGCGGCCAGAAGGATCGCTGGCTGATGCGCGATGAGAGTTGGGTTACTCTCTGTAGAGTTTGGAATGAGCGATCCTATGGGGTCAAAACCAAAAAAGGCTCGTGGGCATGTGGCTTGAAGGATCGAAATTGGTCTGTCCATAAAAAAATGGACACGATAGAAGGCTGACCTTGACTAGGATTAGTCTTGGTGCTGCACGGACACGTGGTTTCAGAAGGAGGAATGCACGGATCATGACAGATTTGGTATCGAGCCTTGGTTTGGCTCAGTGGCGAGATTTACATGACCCCATGTGCGGGCCTAAGTGAAGTGAAATCGAGGTGGTGCCAAGCTCAAAAAGAGCTACCAAGATGCGAATACGGTTCTGTGGCTATGGGGGCTCAGAAATGAGCCAACGACGCGTGTTGCGGGCAATATTGGGCCTATGTAAAAAGGCTCTCGAGTAGGCTCTTGGATGCCAAGCAAAAAGGCACCAGAGTCTAGCCTCACCTAGAAAAAGATGTTGGCATATGTTGGGGCATGGGATGCCTTCACAGTGGAAGGAACCGTAGTGAAACCAAGATGCGAAAAGGGGCTTACACCATGAAATGGTGTTGCGTAAGGCCATGTGGGCCGAGTGAATCTTGTCTTGAGAGGCAGGAGGTATCGAGTTCCAAGATTAATTACTGATGTGTGCACTTGCTGCATGGTGCAGGTGCCCCAGCGGGGGTGCAAGCCGAAGTATTTGGGTCCAAGCATGGAGTCCTTACACAGAGGAGTATGGAGTGGCTAAAGATTAAAGCCACGAGTGGAAGGGTCGGTGGACCATGAGTTGCATTGGTCAATGGACCATGAGTTCTCGTGGTCAGAAGATCACGAGAGTGTGTGAATCAGTGAACTGAGTCTGTGTTGGCCGATAGGAAAGGCTTCACATGAGCTGTGGTGGTCAGTGGGACACGACAGGGTGTAATCTGGTGAAACAAGCAAAGGGAAATGGCCAGTTGACAAGGCCTCAGACATGTAGGTCAGTGGACCTTGAGGAGTGAGCGGGTAAATCCCCGAGTCGAGCAAATCAGTGGACTAGGCATTTTGTCGGATCAGTGGATCTTCGAGTATGTGCGGATTTTGAGATGTCATAGGTGCCATGCTAGATTCAAGGCAAACAAGTAGTAGATTCATAAAGAAGACATGGTTGCGCATAATGCTGCATCAAGTTTTGAGTAAAAGTGGGAGAGACCTGTCAATTCCCCGTGAGACTGAGCCAAGACAGAGGAGCTTGAGCAATGGAGCACAGTGTTCAAGCCGGGAACAGAGACCGAGTTAGCGTGCATTAAGGTGTCGTCTTGAGGGCGGTTGGCCAGAGGGCCACACCTAAAGGGGTGACCTTGGAGGGGTCGAGAGGACCCAAGTTAGGAGATGGTCAAAGTGCCTAAATGCCACTGTGCTAGGGTCTATCATGTAGGGTGCCGTATGAGTGCGATTGACCTAAGAACCACATCCAGAGGGGCGCATCAAAAGGTTGATGCTGCAAACGTGCAGTTGGTATGAGGGGTCACGTCCGATGGGATGTACCAATGAGTGGCAAAGCGGATGGTCATTCATTCTACTGAGGGTCATTGATCAATGAGGGTGCCTCGAGGTCGTAACACGACATGATCAAGGGATGAAGCAATGGTATGGCCCATATGAGAACAACCGAGATAGGTTAGGAGGTTCCAGCTAGAACAGAGCTGAGCGACAACGTGATCCATCTACATCAACAATGGACGAGTACTGTGGATGGCACTTTATGTGACGGGACCTCGACCCAATTCTTGAGGGCATAAGTGAAAGACATATGAGTAAATGTCAACTGTGTGCAACAAGATAGTTAGGGTGTGGTCTTGGCGTCGATGAGGGCATCGACATAGTAAGTGAGGGAGAGTGTCATGGCCAGGCCTTGGTCCTGCCATGACTGACCTTGAATCGAGCAGCGATTAAGATCAAGCTTGCAAGAAAGTGGCTCTAAGAGCTGCGGGCGTGCATTTGGAGCCTTGGAACATGTTACTACTATGTTGTGCGGGCAGTGGGAGCCCTGAACCGCAAGATATACGAGGAAGTTTAGGACGGTGGTCAAGCACCCTCAAGCTAAGTAGCCTGGGGGGTGCCACCAGTAGAATCAGTGTGCGGGCATTCTGAGCATGGGAATATCTTAGGGATATTATGTGTGGACGGTCCATGTCCTAAACCTCGAGATACGGAGGTAAGTATAAGGCAGTACGTCGGTGCCCTGGGACCAGCTAGCCAGTCAGGTGCTGTCGGTCGAAGCCATGTGCGGGCACCTTTGAGTGGGTTGGTGGAGCAACGAGCAGAATCAAGGAGTAGTGGTGACCAAGAGGAGGGTCATGGGGCCCTGAGTTAGCCGAAGAAAGGCCCTGAGATGGCTGGAGAGAAAAGTGTCCCTATTTCAGACAATCTTACGGTCACTGGTAGGAGACTGAGAAAATCTCTTACGCTCTTTATAGGAGACGTCTGGTGTCAACTCTCTACCACCCCCTTGGCTAGCGGGAAGGCAGGGGGCCTGGCTAGTCTGAAGTAAGCTACTCCTAGTCACTAGTGGTGGCTAGGTGGATAGGCATCGTAGGGTCACGAGCGTGGCACAATGTTTCCTCGGGTCACGGTACACCCAGGGGCAGTTGGGGCCAGCGAGCCTCGTATCGCGCCTTTACGTTGAACCATGGGGTTAGACGATAGAGATCGTTAGGCCCCTCGATTTCCCCTCCTCGAGCCGAAAGGATCACAAGATGGCATTTACGTAAGAGGGATGCCATCGAGCCAAAAAGATGTACAGGCTAACAGGTAGACACACTGCTAGACCCCTGTGGCCAGTCAAGAGAGGTGTACTACAGCTGGAGCAGTCCACCCAAGCCCTCTTACGAGATTAGCATAATGGTTGGTGTCAACCATGCGTGCGGACGACTGGTATGCTACAGCTGAGGCAGTCCACCCAAGTCCCCTTGCAGGACTAGTATGATGTTGGGTGTCAATCATGAGTACGAGCGGCCGATACTGATGCTGAAGGCCTAAGCCCTAAGAACCGAGTCCCGTGGGATGAGACTAGCCTAAAGGCTCCGAGCTGGCGGTCGACCAGCTTAGTTGTGGTGCTTGCGTAAACTTGATACGGGAGCTTGCGTACGATACGGGCGGGCATGGTGTTGGGTTCTCACC